TTATTCATAAGGTCACAGGGAAGCAGTTGCAGTTAGGTATTAGAAAACAGCTCCCATTTTAATGAGTATCTCAGTTAATCCTCACAATCACTCCATGAATTCAGTGTTACAATCACCATTTTGTTGATGAGGAAGCAGAAGCTTTAAAAACTGTCAACAATCATGCGATGAGTATGTGGTGGAGCCAAGAACAGAAGACAGATACACATGAATCACTGGTCACCTGGAATCAACATGATGAAGTGTTTTCTGGAGAACTTCTGTAGGGCAGGCTTGAATGCCAGTCCCAACCCCCCCACCTCGCCTCCTAACCCTCCCTCTAGATTGTGTGTGGATATGGTGAACCATGGAGTCTTGATGTGGTGCTGCAGGATCATACACTGCATCGCAAGGTCAGTGGTTCAAACCCACCAGCTCCTCCTTGGAAACCCTATACAGGGTGTCTATGAGTTGAAAACGAGTCGACAGCACTTAGCAAAAACAACAACAACAAGTGGTAAACCATAAGCGAGGAGTGGAACTCAATGAAAACCAGAACCATTGTCTTCAGTTTAATTCTTTATTTGAACATCAAATAGGTTGAGAAAATTGCTTACAGGTGCTTGAGCGTCCCACTGGATTCTTTTATTTATTTATTTTTTGTAAGGTGCAAAAGAGGTTTACAAGTGTATTTCATCAAACAAAGCAAAGCTACAACAGAAACAGAATCACATCAATAATAGTACGCATCTGTCAAAGGGCATATTAATCCATCAAACACAATGTGGCCGTTGAGCCTTTTCCCATAAAACAAGAGTTCTACACTGAAGCATATGAAGTGCACAAAAAGTATTGTTTATAAGCTGTGAGTGGACATAAACTGGCATAATGTCACTTATTAATTCAAGTCTCTATGACCAATGACCTCTCTCTGAATGCAAGGGGTCTATGTCTCAGGCACCTACTCATGAGACTATATGTTGGATCCAGGGTGCACAGCTCTGTACAAACACACTGAAGATGGGTTTGGAACATGGCAGCATTTACACACTTAAAAAGTTCAGGCACATTTGGATGCAGAAATATAGAGGAAAAAAAAAGAATATAAATTTTTCTTGAATCTCTCAAAGACAGTGCAAAATTGAAGTGCCGTAATAGAGGCAGCAATTACTTAGAAAACAATTTTAAATGACTTCAAAAAAGGCCACACTTTCATTCAAATTGAAAGGAAATGCAGTTAGAAAAACAGCATAATCACATCAATGAAAAATGGATATTTGGGGCCCTAGTTGAATCCATTTGCAGTTGAGAGTAAGTTTTCAGGGAGTTAACCTAGAAGTTGTACAGTGAAATCCAGATAAAATCCCACAGACTTTCACTAAAGAAAATCCTGGTTCTCTGTTGTGCGGCTGTTTGACTACCCTTCAAACAGATTTGCCAGAGAATATTAGACATTACTGCAGTCCTTGAGGCCACTCTCAGAATGCACAGCCCACCTATGGGTTGGAAAGTATGAACAGGAAGGGATTTAGAATTGATTTCATTTATGGGTGCTTGAAACCAACGACCTAAATCCAATGACTATTTCACTGTGTATGATTGCAAGTTGAGGACACCTTAGTGTGATCAAAAGTAATTTATCAGAAAGTTCTTTATTTGTTCAGCCCCCAAAGGGCATGGGGTATGGCATGGTGAAACATATTTGCAAAGGTATTAGAGAAATACCAACCAAGACTGCACTTTCTTGGGGTTTGGATATTGCAACCTACCAGTCCATAGGACCTTCTCTTTGGATGACCTAGCCTCTCCTACTGCTGCAAGATAGCATCATGAAATCATTGTAGCAAGAGTAGAATCTGGTAACCATGAAACAGAACACAGAGCAGCGAGCTATTCCTTGGACTTTAACTGCTGGAGGCATTCTTTTATTTCTACAACCAAGCCACCATTTTAGAAAAGGCTGCCCATTGGAGCTAGTCATCTGTGGCTTCCAGTGCCCAAGTGGAGAAGGAATGTCAGTGTTGATCTATCTCAAAATACTCTCACCTTCTCCAAATCCCTGAACCTACTTCTGTACCCTACTGCAGTCCTCTAAGTAGATCAGGTCTTTTAAACCTTAAGGAGCCTCAGAGTGGGGAAAACCCCATAAACAACAGTTCTCCAGTGTATGTATGCTCTCTACCCAGTAGCAACCTCAGTTAGAAAGTGTCAACTGTTCATTAGTGGCACTTCACGTAAGATTCAAAAGAGAATTCTCAAATCATCTGAGATCTCTGGGCTAATGTTCCAGCCATCTGATACCTTCTCCCCATTTCAAATGTAGCAGTTTCTTAACATGAACATAAACACATTAGATGAATAATGTAAAACCCTCCACTGTATTATTGTTTGGATTTAGCTGGTATTACATCATCTATAGTCCTAGAGTTGTATTTGTTGTTTTTTTTTTTTTTTTCTTTTTGTTTTTATTTTTTAAAAAGAAAATCTAAGTATAAACATTAAAAAGAACCCACTGACCCATTAGCTACTGCCCAAAAATATTACTACTGATATTTTGGTAAAAGCAAAATTAGCTGCCCTGAATAATTTTCCTTTTCAGGCATAATCTCTACTATATAAGATTGTCTATCATTCAATATCCAACAGTAGGCATTTGGATTAGTGCTATTTTTGTCTACTGTGGATATAAAAGTTGATATGAAATGTGATCTTCATTTAAATGAAGAATCACCAGGCCATAAACATCAATAACTGCATACATCACAAGGTAGTCGGAAAAGTATTACAAAAGAACTAAACATCATTTTTGTTGTTCTTGGTTTTGCATCTTAACCCAGTCAAATTAAATCCACAACAGAATTACTACATTCAACGGTCATCAAACAAGCAATAAAATTTCCCCCCCCCCAAAAAAATATATATATTACATGATAAAAATAAGGTGCTTTTTAAACAAACCAAACGCAACCGAATGAAACCCACCGCCACTGAGACAATCCTGACTCATAGCGACCCCATACAAACAACATCAAAATAATTATGTTCTAAATACATTCTTGATGCAGACACATAAAATTTCCCACATTTAGTTGCACAGATATGAAAATTTTTGTTGTTGTTGTTGTTGTTGTTTTGGCCCTCCCAGTTTCTCAGTTCTTTGGTGGTCACTTACTGAGCAATTAGAAATGGAAAAAATCCACTCTTTTGAAACAGGCATCTCAAGGGAGCCTCCAGCAGCTCATCTGGATTGTTGGGTTTGGATTATGACATAGAGGCCAAGGGGCAAACCATATTTTGGTTATCATTGAGAAAAAGCAATAATCCATATTTGACTCTATAGAAGGAAAGGCCAGAGTAGAGGTCCTCTAGCTGGGGCGGGCCTTTCTTTGAAATGTAGCCCATAGTTCCAAGGATTACCTTGTTTCCCTGGATCTCATTGTCGTGGTCTTCAACATTAATGGCATATGAGCCTTGGGGGGTACTCTTCTTTCCAAGGCCAAACCCCAATTTTAAGTTCTAGCATCCAAGGGAAGGTGAGGAGAGGGAGGTGCCAAACCCTGCCCAGTTCCTGGTATCCCCAGGGTGCTTCACACCTGCAGGAATGTGGCTGTTTCTTGCTGTTTGTTCTAACCAGGGCCAGACCAGGAGTGAAGCAGAGGGAACCACTCAGAGATGCTAAGGCCGCCCCAGTCATGTGTGAGCTCTGCTCACAGGTGTGACCTCAGCTCACAATGATTTCTAGTTTCTACCCTGATTTCTTTCTTATTTCTTAGTGCCTGCAATGATCAGGTGGTTTTGCTAGCTAGAGCCCCGTTGGCACCGTGGTTAAAGAACTTGGATGCTGACAGAAAGGTCGGCAGTTTGAACTCACCAGCTGCTTTGCAGGAGAATGATCTTGCAGTTCGCTTCCATAAAGATTTACAGAAAGCAATCTCACAGACACGATGAGTCGGAATCCACTCCACCATAGTGGGTTTGGGTTTGGTTCGGTTCACTTAGTTAGATCAATAATCTCCATGCTAAGTGTACCAGGGTGCCCACTCAAACTGGCCTTGGTCACAGGCCGGGCTATACATAAGACTAGTTCACCTTCTAAGTTGCTTGCCCACCCTGCAGGATCAAGCAGGGTGCCCTCTGCTGGTAACTGAGAGACAGTACCAGAACATGTAGGGAAGGAAGCTAATTCTACCGTGGGTCCTGGGAGAAGAGGGCTTTCTTTAAAACAACAATAGAATAGGATTTTGTCCTGGTATATGTGGGAGTGACCTTACTGGGGTCCACTTGCCACTTTCTGTAGAGCCATGGGAAGCAAGAATGAACCAGAGCCCACAGCCTGTGCACAGAGCTCTCAAAAGAAAAGGGAGAGCGCTCTGTCCAGCCAACCTGAAGGTGCACTGTATTCAACTGAACAATTAGGGCATCTTACAACCCTGTGTGCATCTTGTATTCATCTTGTATTCCTACCGGGGAAATGAGCAGAAAATTATTGAGTATTTTGCTACAGCCATGCAAAAGAGCACAAGCTTCAAGGTATTAATGGAATAATACGCAACATTGCTATAGGAATACAAGAGAAATGACCCGTGACCTAGCTTTCTCCAAGTCAGCAACAAAGAGCTGCTTCAAATCTTTCCATGTCTGCTTAGAACCATTAAAAGTGCTTCACAGAGGTGAAAAGTCCACCTCTCAGGCCTGCGTCTCCACCAGTAGCTTCAATGCACCATCATCCGAGCCCCAGTTTATGGGCAGAGTTCAGCCACGAGGAGCTACAGGCATCCTCATGCTTAGTAATTGAGCAAAGGGGGATGGAGAGCAGTTACGGAGACTTTAGTCCTGGAATCCCTTTGGCTGTTCCCAACAGAAGGTGTGCCACTAAGAACTGAACAAGCAAATATTCGTCATAGAAAACCACTGTGCTGAACGCATGGCAGAGTATGAAAGGAGACAGAATTCGGCTAATGTAATGCATAACGTGGGAGGAGGCTGCAGGGATTCTCAGAGCCTTGGGGGACCTAGTGCTCTCACATGGTAGTGGGCAAACTGTCTGTCTCCCCAGTCATGTAATACACTGGCAAGGAATGCGATGAAGTGGGGCCCATGGTGGTGAGCTGACTCTGGTTGGTGTCCTCCATGGAGGGCCCCGCTCGGGTGGTCGGGGCGTGCAGCCTGTGAGCATCCAACATCTCCAGCAGCAAGTCGTACAGGGGCACCACGTTCTTGCACTTCATGCTGTAGAGGTGCTCCATGCCTTTGTTACTGTAGGATGGAGGACAGAGAGGAGACCACTTTAGACCCAGCCCAAAGGCCAGGGCACCAAAAGGCCTGGTAAGGGGAAGGAAGAAACCCTCCAAAGACACTTTAATGCATCCTATCTTCTTATTTCAAGAGCCAATTTATGATCGCTTCCCAGAAGGATGAAGGTCCTTCAGGGAGTTGGAGCTTCCAGTCTGGTACTCACCTTAGAAGGCACAAACGATTTACACTCAGAATGGTGCTGCAGGTTTACGCTCTGGACTGCAAAGTCAGTTTAAACCACAAGGTAGGAGGTTCAAGCTCACCAGCTGCTCTTCGGAAACCCAATACAGGGTCACTATGGGTCAGAACTACCTCAACAGCACTCAACAACAACAACAAAAACAAGGCTAACCTGAAGGAGTCCTAGTATACTTCTGTGGAATAAAGCCCAGGACCACAAGGTCGGGTTGAACCACAAGTTTGTCGGTTCAAGTTCACCCGCCACTCCTGGGAAACCCGATACAGGGTCGCTATGGGTCAGAACCGACTCAACGGCACTTAACAACAACAAAAACTATATATTGTTAAGTGCCATCGAGTCGGTTCTGACCCATAGTGACCCTGTATCAGGTTTCCAAGGAGCGACTGGTACATTTAGTAAGAATCAAATCAACAATGTTGGATAATTTACTGTAAGAGATTTTGGGTAGGGGAAATGCTTAAGGAGCTCTGTTGGTAATCAAAAGGAAGTTAGAGATTTTAACCTACCCACAGGCACCTAAGAAAAAAGGCCTCATGATCTAATTAAAAAAAAAAAAGTTTGCCTTGAGATGTAATGAGGTACCACAATACTGGTGTGTGTGTGTGTGTGAAGAGAGAGAAAGAGACGAGAGACTGAGAGGAGGGGAGCATGCTCAGAAAGGTCTTGTTAGTCTAGCAACCTCTCTGCAGCTTTCAAGCAATTCCAAGAGAAGTTGGAGAGTTTCCTCAAAGCTACTGCTCTCGGTTATACGGTGTCAGGAAAATCCAAAAAGACTGTGTATTGAGTGCAAATACTCTGAGTATTAACTAATTAGGCTTGCTAATGTTGACAAGCAGTTGATGGATTTGAAATTTGGTGAGTCCTACCCACAAATAAAAACATTCATCTGCAACGCATGGTTTCTAAAACATCATTGAAATTTCTAGTTCAGGATGAAAGTTAGTATGTTTTCTTCAAAGTAAGGCTATTTGCTCACCAGAGAAACTTGACAAAGACTATGCTAATCGAGTCTGTTCCCTGCTGTATGGTTTATTGTTGTTATTGTCAAGTGCCATGGAGTCGGTTCCAACTCATAGTGACCCTGTATAGGGTTTCCAAGGAGCAGCTGGTGAGTTTGAACTGCCAACCTTGTGGCTGGTAGTCCAGTGCTTATCTTGCAGCACCATACCAGGAGTCCTGTCTGTCGTATTAATCAAATGAACAATTGGAAGAACACCCAAAGTTGCAGATAGAACCCATTTGACCTACCCTCGATGGCTTGATAATCAGAACTTGACTAGAGGAAGATTAAAATAAAAAAGAAGAACAAAACAATTTCTGATAAAAGGAAAAGAGGGTAAATTGCTACAATTTGATGAACCTGACCTTGTACTCATGGAGGTCGGTGTTGTTGTTGTCAGGTGC